TTTAGTTAATAAACTTTACTATCGTACAATGAAAATCCGTCATTTCAATGCATTAGAAGACAATTATATGTATTTAATAACTGATGATAAAACAACCGAATGTGCAGTTGTTGATCCAGCTGAACCAAAGGAAGTAAGACAGACAATGTTTAAAAAATAAATACAAACATTCTAAGCAATTCTTCTAATTTCAATCTCTAGTTAGTTGAAACAATTAAGAAAGAAGGATTAAAATTAACAACTATTCTTACAACACATCATCATTATGATCATGCTGGTGGTAATAACAAAATGCTTGAATTAATGGGTGCAGAAAAAGGTCAAATAAAAGTAGTTGGTGGTGATAGATCATTACAAGGTCTTACACATCCAGTAAAAGATAATGAAAAATTTCAGGTAAATTAATTTTTGCTAATTTTTTTCAAGTAGAAAAAAAACTCTTTTTGTTTCTATTCAAATAGATTGGAGAACTTGAAGTAACTTGTTTATTAACACCTTGTCATACGGCTGGTCATGTTTGTTATCTAGTCACGGGTTAGTAATATGAAATAGTTTGTTTGTTTTCTTTTTTTTTTTTTTTTTAGTTTTTATTTATAAAAAATATTTTAGATAAAGTACAACAAGCTGTTTTTACTGGCGATACTTTATTTATTGGTGGTTGTGGAAAATTTTTTGAAGGTTCAGCAGCACAAATGCAATCAAGTCTTCAAAAATTAGCAGCACTCGATCCAAAAACTGTACGTTAAACATGTTTCTTTTTGTCACGATATGAAAAAGAAAGCATATGATTTCGTTTGCTATATGTTTTTTTTGTAGCTTGTCTATTGTGGTCATGAATATACGAAAAAAAACCTTGAATTTGCTGCAACTGTTGAACCAGATAATCAAGATTTAAAAGCTAAACAAGCAAGTTTAAAATCTGTTACTATACCATCAACAGTATGTGATGAACTTAAATTTAATCCTTTTATGCGTACTAATCAAAAAAGTGTACAAGCATTTACTGGTAAAACTGATCCAATTGAATGTATGGCTGAATTACGTGAACGAAAAAATAAATTTTGAATTAAATTTTTTCTTTGCAATAAACAAGCACTAGATGGTTTCTTTTGATTTGAATGAATAAACTAAAATTTGATTATCAGTTTGTCTTTTAATTTCTAATATTTTTTGTCTTTTGTAGATTAATGTAGAAGAATAGAATGACTAATGGAATGCATAGTNGATCCAATTGCATGTATGGCTGAATTACGTGAACGAAAAACTAAATTTTGAATCAAATTTTTTCTTTGCAATAAACCAGCACTATATGTTTTCTTTTGATTTGAATAAATAAACTAAAATTTGATTATCAGTTTGTCTTTTAATTTCTAATATTTTTTGTCTTTTGTAGATTAATGTAGAAGAATAGAATGACTAATGGAATGCATAGTATAATTAGTTTAGAATTTTTACAAACAAATTACTTTATAAATAATCAAATGAATAGTATTCAATTGAAACATTAATATTCGTTTGCGTTAGGAATGAATTCTGCATCTTTTCTAAATAACGTCTCTTAGGTGGGAAGGTTTCAAGGTGGGCCTGCACCGATTAAATCGATATTCTGCTTAGAAGTAAGCCTTAGTGAGACTAAAAACATTCGTTATCATACGCTATCCTTCTCGAATTAGGACCATTTTCTTGTATTTTCTATCTCAGACAAGGCATATATTAAAAAAATTCAGTTATGAAATTTCGCCCATGGATTGACACACTATTGCAAATATTGATTGCTAAATGTAAAAATGCTTGTATACTATGATAAATATCAATTATTCTCTATATTTTCTCTTACCTCTTCTAGGTATGTCTAATTATATGTTGCTGTTATAATTATATTTATGATGCTTTTCTCTTTGTTGTAATTTGTTATTCATGCAAGAACTTTTTATTATTTTATTTTTATTTCATGGAATGTGAACAACTGAAATTAGAATTAATACATTAATACGGATTGAATACATTTGTTCTTTCTTTCTTCCGACACATTTTTGTGTAATAGTTATCGAAGACTCGAAAAAGATATATAAATGATTTATATAAAATAATTTTATTGTAGTTTCTTGTTATTTATTTCTGTAGTTATTTTTAACCGCTATATCAACTAATTTAGTGTATATTCTACATACTACCGCTATTTTCCAATGTTCTTCTAAATTGGCTTGAGGAAAATCGATCCTTTGACAAAAATAGATATTTCCATTTTTTTAAAGCTGATTTTGCTTAGCTATTTAAATAATATCTATTTTAAAAAAGTCACTAAAACCTTTAAGAGCCTTATTAAATGAAATAAAAATTTAATGTATTTTTTTGTGAAAGGGCACAGAGATGAGCATATTTAACTTTTCCTAATGTTATTGTTGTTAAGTTTATTGAAATTAAAAACAAAGAGGGAAGATATCTACATTTGTTTTGAAACCATAATTGACCAAAAAATCATACAAAATTCACTACTCTTTTTTTAGTGATTATCATTGTTTTTTTTTTCTTTCTGAAACTAATATTAATAAACTTTTGATTTATAGATAATCAATTGTTGTTGAAAACCATTTAAGCAAAACCTAAAGGGACATTCATATAGACATATATATTATAAATGTTTAAAGGTCGTCTCTGGCGTTTTTTAATATTCTTTTTTGTATTGTATTTAACATTTCTTTTCCTCATCTTTCGTTCATTTAATTCTGATAATAATGATAAAACAACAACATTACCATTACCTCATGCACGTGTTATTATTAATGATAATAACCAAGAACAAAATAATATTCAACATCATGTGGCGGTCCGACAAGTCGAGAATAATAAGTCATCTAATTTAAAACCTGTAATGACAAAAGGTGTATTAGGAAATTATGAACCAAAGAAGTTAGTTAAAGTATCAGGTCCTGGTGAGGATGGTGAAGGTGTTCAATTACGTGGAGAAGATATTCAAAGAGGACAAGAATCTGTTGCTGAATTTGGTTTCAATGAAGTAGCAAGTGATAAAATTTCATTAGATCGACGTGCACGTGATACGAGGTATAAAAAAAAAGAGATAAAAATTTAAAGAAAATCTTTATTTAGACCAGAAGAATGTAAATATTGGAATTATCCGAGTGTTGATAAATTACCAACAGCATCTGTTGTTCTTGTTTTTTATGATGAAGGATGGTCAACATTAGTACGAACATTTCATTCTGTAATTAATACAAGTCCAAAAGAATTGTTAAAAGATATTATTCTTGTTGATGATTACAGTGATCAAGAACATATAACTGTTCGTTTACCGGAATATATTAAGAAATGGAATGGTCTTGTGAAATATGTTCGAACAAAACAACGGTAAATTATTTTCTAATTAGATGTGAAAGATACAGTGTGCATGCAGGCGGATACTAGGTGTTACTCAAACTTTGTCAAAGTATTCGTCTGTTAGAGTTCTATCAACGCAGTTAGCACAAAAGTTCCTCGACTTAGATATGAATTTTTTAAGAAACCATAGTTTTCCAGGTAGTTCCCATTTGTTAGCCGTTCAGAAACGTTTTCATTACGCAACAATAGTATATTCTGAATCAGCGCACGAAACTACATTGACTGATGAATAGCACCAGACATTTTCTAATTGAAAAATTTTTGTGAAAAGATGTGGACATGTATTTCGCTTAGGTATTTTTCGTCGAAAAATTACTTTTTCTTTCAAAAATACTTTATTTTCCTCAAAGTGATTTAGTGAGCAATATGCAATTAGTTCTGAGCAGAATGAGTGCAAATGTTTACCTCTCTATTTCAACATCCATTGTAGATCGTATTTCACAGAAGTAAATGTTTGATTTTTGTTTAGAGTTGGACTTATTGAAGCTCGTGTTGTTGGTGCTCGTGCTGCTGAAGGTGATGTGATTGTAATCTTAGATGCTCATTGCGAATGTGTAAGATAATCTCTTCTTTTGTATTAATTTAAATTTTTTGTTTTAAATTTCTATTCAGGTAACAAATTGGCTACCACCATTACTTACTCGAATTGCCTTAAATCGTAAAACTTTAGCTGTACCTATTGTTGATGGAATTGAATGGAATACTCTTCGACATAATACAGCTTATGGTGGTACACTTTATAGAGGCATATGGGAATGGGGATTTTTATATAAAGAAACAGAATTACCACAACGTGAACGTACTTTAATGAAATATCAAACTGAACCTTATAAAAGTCCAACTGTAAATTTGAGACCAATATGCTTTTATTTTGTGAACGCTGTTTTTTTTCTTTTTATAGCATGCCGGTGGTCTTCTTGCTATTGATAAAAAATGGTTTTTTGAATTAGGTGCTTATGATCCAGATATTAAAATTTGGTAAGTATTAATACATATAAACTGTATATTAAAACGAAAATAATGTGGAACTGTTTGAATCTTTAATCATCGAAAATTTCTGAATTAATATAACAATAGATTAATATTCTATAGAGAAGCATATTTTAATCATTGTTTTGATTTTTTTTCTAGGGGAGGTATGTATTTATTTTTAAAATACTCTCATTTCTATTTTAACGTTCTGTATTAGGTGAACAGTATGAATTGAGTTTCAAAGTATGGATGTGTGGTGGTCAACTTGAATGGTAAACACGAAAATTATTTTTTTCTTTTCAATTAGACTAATATTTATTTATTGATTTTAAAGGGTTAGTTGTAGTCATGTTGGACATATATATCGAGGACCACGTCGACGTAGTATGCATCCTCGAGGTGGAAACATTCATCAAAGTCATATAAATCATTTGCGTGTGGCTGAAGTATTTTATTTTTGATTGATCTTTTCTTTTTTTTTTCTTTTTTATCTTATCATTTGATATTAGATTTGGATGGATGAATATAAAGAATATTATTTACGTCGTCAACCAAATCAAGCTCATCTTGATATTGGTGATACAAGTGAATATAAAGCATTACGAAAACGTTTAAATTGTTCCAGTTTTAAATGGTTTTTGGATAATGTTGCGTATGAAATGGCTGAAAAATATCCATTACCACCAGCAAATCATATTTGGGGTGAAATGCGTAATGATCAATATCAACAATGGTGTGCTGATACACTTGATAATCAATTTGGTCGACCTATAGGCATATCTGGTTGTCATCATCAAGGTGGAAATCAATTATTTCGTATTAATGTAGAGGGTGAATGGTCATCGGGCGAACATTGTTTTGTATCGGAAGGAAATTCTGTTGTAGCAAGGTATGAAAAAAGTTTTTTCTTTTTCAACCTGTATCTTCCCATAATGATTCCAGAAGAGTCACTGATGAAACAATCATTGGAATAGAATATTAGTTTTCCCGACGTATCGATAGGATGAACAGATTGATCAGAGAGAACGACTAGACAACAGCTCTATCTGAAGCCTTCCGTGAGTCTGATGTGGTTTTATAAAATAAACGTTGCACAGTGATCAAAGGCATCTCATTATGAAGAGAATGAGCATAAGAAAATTTTTTTTCTTATCAATTGACAGTTTATGGAATTCCATACAAGATATGTTTCCTTTATTTTCTGTCATCGTTCTACAAATACTCATTCTATTGACCAGCGAGGTGGCGGGGGGGGGGGGGGGGGGAGAGAGGGAGAGGATTTTTGGGAAGTAATGTGTACTTTTTTNTGGCCACTTCTTTTGTAGCTACTATGTATAAGTAAATACTCAAACAAGAAAAATATAAGAAATACGTAATAATAATACGTTTAGAAAATCTTACAACAGAACTATCTAATAAAAATTGATTTGTTTTTTTTTATTTAATCTGGATAAAACTGAATTAATGTATTATAACTATAAACATCGTATCAATCGAATAAAACACGACAAGTTCGTTCGACGAAAGTTTATAAATGTATAGTAACTGATGGTAAAGTTTTGTCTCTTGAAACTTGTGAAGAGAATGCTATAGCACAAAAATGGACATGGACAGAAACTTATGTTGTATAATTAATATCGAATTTATATAATGACTATAAGAGATCATCATAAAACATATGAATTATTTTACTTCAATAATCTCTTATTCATTTTTTCTTTTACTTCTTTCTTGTGATATTCTCTATCATGGTTGTTATTTTCTCCTCTTTTGTTTCTTGCTAAATCAATTGACTTGTGATTTTTGTTTTGTTTTTTTATTGTTAAATTATATACAAATTCATTTTACTTCTTGGTTTATTAGGTTTTATTTAAATAGTTATTTGAAGAAGTTACAAGAAAAAAAAAATGATGCCTTATGTAATCTATTCTCTTTAGATAAAATGTTACATTTATTAGCAAAACGTGCATGGATAACTAACCGGCTAACATTAAATTTTTCTAAATCGATTGTTCGTAATAGTTATTACTTAGTGTAAGTTTTGACTTTTATTTTATGAAAAAATTCGATTAAATTTTTATTTTAAAAGAATACCTGAATTACCACCTACTGTTGAAGGCACTGATGCAGTATTTCATTCTGAAACACTTCCATCATTTGAACATGCTACACCACAAGTTATTGTCAGTGGTGGTATTCGATTATGTTCAGAATTTGATACTACTATTCAACAACATGTCGAAAAATTAGCAAACGGTAAATATTCTATTCTATTTATTCTTTACATATAATTACAGTGAATAGATAAGTTGAGTTCTTATTAAAAAGGTGTTGTGTTTTATTCGATTGATACGATGTTTATAGTTATAATACATTAATTCAGTTTTATCCAGATTAAATAAAAAAAAACAAATCAATTTTTATTAGATAGTTCTGTTGTAAGATTTTCTAAACGTATTATTATTACGTATTTCTTATATTTTTCTTGTTTGAGTATTTACTTATACATAGTAGCTACAAAAGAAGTGGCCATTGATTTATAAACTGAATGTTCACTAGCGATAGTAGTACTGAGCATGAGACTATCAGTTGAGATAGCTAAGAAAATAAGTATATCTATTTTGCATAAATCCAGCTGTCATAGAAAGTTCTAAATGAATTTTGATAAATAGACTTAATCAAAGTATCGATCGCATTGGTTCATACAAAAAATTAGACTCATAATTTGAATTATGAATAATATAACATAACAAAGATTTTATACATCATGGAAGAGACTTAAGTTTTCTATATTTTTTATGTATGTAGATACATCAAAACCAACATTTGAGTCAATATTTAATCTGATTGAGGATTTAAACGTTCCATTTGAAACTGGTTATTATACAATTCGTCAATTAGCACTTGTTCAACAAGGAACATTTGCTAAATTATTTTCCAAAGTTTGTATAAAATCTTCTGTCATCTTTTATGATCATCCTGTTTTTTTTTGTTACAATAGTTTGATAGTCATTTTTCTGTTCATCGAGAATTCCGTTTTCAAGATCCAGCTCTTTTCAATCTTGTTCAAGTAAATTTATTTTTATTGATTTGTTCTGTTTTTGTTTTGATCCTATTGATCCATTTAGAATCTAAATACTGATGAAAACCGAACTAAATTAAAAAATTGGCAACAAACATTAATCAATGTTTATTTATACTATGGAAAACTAAATGGTTGTCATTTAAATAATGAAGAACTTGATCAAATGCAATTGCTCAATGGAAAACTTAGTCAACATCAATATAGTTTTGCGTAGATATATTCATTGACTTTTACAATTTATGATATGCATTTTTCTTATAGTCAAAAACTTCTCTATGCTAATAAAACATTTACACATCTTGAACTTGATCCGTTCGCTTTTGATGATGTACCATATCATATAAAACAACAATTTGCTGTTGATAAGTAAGATATTAGTACACTGTTGGCTCTCAGGTGGACATACATTAGTTGAAAGATTGAATGAGTACTTTTTAATAGCTTAAATAGAACAGCATATACTCTAAGCTATGAGTTATTTAATAACATGAAAGTCATTGTTTCTTTTGTTAGACATAATCTATTAGTCTTGTGTGTAAAAATATTTTCCACAGATATATCGGGTAAGGATCTCTCACAGCGATTTCTCAGTCAAAAAATTTGTGTTTTCCGATTTTACTTTTTCAGAATGTATTGATAGTTGAGAGATGATTCAGCAATATTCAGTGAAAAAAAATCACATGTCCGCCTGCTTCATGGAAAAATGCCTACTGTGTGATATTGTTTTTTTCTCTTATATTTGATAACTTTAATGCTTCATATAGGGCTAAACCAGATTTAGGACCATGGAAACTTGATTTATCTGATCAAACATTTCATACAATAATGTCTTATTGTGGAAATCAGCCATTGAGGAAACTTATGTTTGAAGCTTATTATGGTCGTGCATCACCAACATCTGATCGATTAGATCGAAATGTAGAAAATATTGTTGAAATAACTCGAAAACGGTTTTAATTTATTATTTCAAAAAACAAAGATATTTATTTATTTATTTATTTTATTTAGAAAGTCAATAGCTAAATTTCTTGGTTATCCTTGTTTTGCTGACATTGTTTTAGAATCTAAAATGGCTCGTAAAAAAGAAACGGTACAAGAATTTATTGAAACAACACGTTCAAAATTAAAACCAATACATGATGAAAATATTCGTCAATTAACAGCGTATGCACAAGAAAAATCAAATAAACCAAAAGAATATGAAAAATTACAGTCATGGGATGTTGCTTATTGGCGGCATAAACAATGTCAAGATTTATATTCATCATTAAAGATTGATCCTCTACAAATAAGTCGACATTTTTCATATGAACATGTGTTACAAGGACTTTTTAATTTCGTCGAATTTCTCTTTGATGTTAAATTTGAATTAGAAAATAATTTTGATGAACAATATAAATGGCATACAGATGTACAAGTTTACAGATGTATAGAAAATGGTAACTGAGATTTTTTTCTTATTCAGAAGAAAGATAATATAAACTATTTAGGAATGACAATTGGCCATTTGTTGATTGATGCATTTGCTAGACCAAACGAAAAATCGGAATTATGTATTGGTACAGCAGGACGAGGTTGGTGTATTATACAAGATGTTTATACTTAATATTCGTTTTTTTCTTTCTCGAAAGATCTTTGTCAACGCCATAATATTTTACCAATTGCTTATCTCAATATGAGTTTACCACGTATTGAAGGAACAGCGACTTTGATGACGTTATCACAACTCAAAGAAATGTTTTTTGCTGTACGTATCAATAAGTTTTTGAACTATTAGAAAAGTCATGAACGAAGGAAGTTCTTCAACTGTTATATCACACTTAACAATTTCGATGAGAGAATGTGAAAGTTTGTATTATGTCACAAAATAGGTAGTTGATTATTCTTGTTTAAATATCCCCGTCTTAAATTTTAAGCATATCTCAAAAAAATTGTGATTTGATACTAAAATTCAAAAGGAGAGGCATGATTCTTTTTATTTTGTCAGAATATTTATAGATGTGTGTCTGAAAAATGTTTTTATAGAGAGAAACAAAAATAGACAAGTAGAAAAGAAAGATTGTATTCTACTTCTATAAAAATTCTATTCACTTAAGCACATAACTATCAAAATAACATTATATTGAAGTTTGTTCTTAAACTGCTGTATAACTCTTTCTTTTTCATTAAGTTTGGTCGTGTTCTTCAAGTTCTTCTTACTCGTTCGCCAAATCACGAATTATCTGGTATACGTAATCTTGAAGCTGATGCGCTTGATATTGTTCCAAATTTTTTTCTTCAATGGCTTCGTGATCCAAGTATTCTTTCATATATAAGTCAAAATGTTGAAACAAAACAAGTTCTTGATTCTTCCGTTTATCATCGTGCTTTAAATCAAATCGATCATCATATGATAGCACATGATGTTCTTCGACAATTATATTTAAGTGCATTTGATCTTGAAATTCATACAAATGCAACTAATTATTATGATGCTATGGTTAAATTATGGTCATTATTTACACCAATACCATTACATAATCGTGATTTTCATCCGTGTAGTTTTGAACAAATCTATTCTGAACAATTAGCATCCGCTTATTATTCACATAAATGGTCTGAAATGATTGCATGCGATTTATTTAATGCTTTTAAAGAAATAGGATTAAAAGATAAAGAGAAAATTTCAGCACTTGGAAGAAGGTAATGCGAGCAAAAGAACAAAAGTTGAATTTCATGTTTTCTCTAATGTTGATAATATATTTTTAGATTTCGTGAAACAATCTTAGCACGAGGTGGTACAATAAGTATGCGAGAACTCTTTCGAGAATTTCGATCACGTGATCCAAATTATGAACATTATGTTCAACAATTAACAACTAAATTTTAAACTGTTTTCTTTTCTAACATGTACTGTTCTGACGTGTTTTTGTTTTGTTTGTAGGTAATAGGAAAAGTGACGTGGAGAAGAACAAAGACGTCAATAATAAAATGTTTAACACAGAATAAAATAAAGCTTTCAATGACTTTTAATATTTGTCTTTTTGATAAATTGAAAACAATAGCTGTCACGAATAACTTGTTTGATGAAGTATTTTATCATATCCGACTAGATTCTGTAATAAACTGATCTACTTCCAGAACACTTGAATCATTTTTTTCAAATTTTATTAAAGAAATTGTAGTATACAAAGACAACCCTAGATTAAGTGATTCATCATTAAGATTGTCGTTCATTTCTTTTGCTAATTTTATATCATACCAGCACAATGTAGATACAGATTGAAATAGAACAAGTTGAAAATGTTTTTAAAACAATCTTATTTAAATGATACAAGTCAATAGAATACCTTCGATCTGATCAAGGTTTCCTTAAGTTGAGACGATCTTAGTTTGCAAGAAAAAATTGAATTAATTAATGCGTTAGAATCAAACTTAATTGACATCAGTATTATTTCAAAAGCAGAAAAACAAAATAGCATTAGAGCATTGTATAACAAAAGATTAACTTTAGTTGAAAAGAGTTGTCGGCTCAGTCTCGTTGGAGCTGAAATGCGAAACTCATGTGCTCTTTAGTCACATTATCGAGAAATACAAAATAAGTAATGTGAAGTATCTCTAACAGATTATAATTGTTTTTCAAGAATAATCAAGCATCAGAAACACCATGTCTTATTATGGTGTAAATGACTGTACTCTGTCGATGAATAACACATTGTTTATTATCCTGTTTTCTTATAAAATAAAAAATACGATATAGGATTTGTATTTACATGTAAAGTTTTATTTACAAAAATATATACATACGTATACGAACATATAATATGCTATCACTCTTTTTCACATGATCCTTGACTGGCTTTAAAAAAAACCTTGTATTGATAGAACCAGGAAATGAAAAAGAGATCAGATTTGTTCAAAACTTGCCCATTAGTCGAAATTTCTATCTGTATAATTCAGAAATCAATTATTAAACTTTGCTCCTATGAAAATGATTAGCATTAGTTACTTAATTCTTCTGATATGATCACTTTTCATGATACTGAAAGTCTTATAAGAAAATTAAGTTGATTATTATCTTGCAAGGAAGTCTTGACTTCAAGAGGGTCTTTTAAGTATCCACGATGAAATACTCGCTAATTTTCATTTTGAAAGTATGGATGTGTGAAGGTGCGTATGTGTGTGCTTGTAGATGTTTCTCTACTCTTCATCACAATCCATCCACAACGCTCAATCGCTATATATAGTGATATATAGAATCTACTAACTTTGCACTATGCATGAATATGAAAGATTTCTTTGTTGTTTGCAATTATACAAAGTTGTCAATGTGTCATTATGACGAAAAATCGTCAAAAAAGTTCATTATAAGTAAAAGATGATATGGTAGACTTCCGATGGTACTAACCATGTATATAATTTGTGTTTTAAATTTTAATTAAATATGGAACAGTATTTTTTGATGAAATAAATCACCCATCGATTTTCATCGAAAGATCTTGAATCTGGATAAGAAACTTGGCTGTAATGGACTTGATTAGGATATGAACTTGGACAATAAGAAAATATTTTTTTTAAAACATCTATGACAAGCATAATCAAATGCCGTCCAGGGTGGCCAGATCTTCTGATTTTTCAGAATTTTTCTGATTTTCAGCATCTTTTCTGATGGTTTTCTACTTTCTGATTTTTTCTGATTTTGAAGGTTCTTATTTTAATTGTCCTGTACGAGTTGAGAATCTGATCTGACGCCACATCGAAGTTTTGAAGCTCAGTCATGTTTAGTTGCCTCTTTTGTATTTAATCTTTAGTTGATTTTTCCTACACCTCTNTTAATAATGATGATATTGGTATTTGTACTCGATTAACACATGTTTCAGTTGTACTTGAAGGAATGCATCCAGTATTAATACTCCCTAACATTCAGGAATTGAAAGTTAATCAAATTTACTTATTTCTAATTCCTATTTGTTTTTTCTTTATCTACAGATAAAAATTCGAAGTCAAGAATGTATTGTTCAAGAACCACCTAATACTAAAGGAATAAAATCATGTAGTACATTTCATTCAATTACTTTTACAAGATGGATTAAATATTTTGATCATATGGACATGTTCTTTGCTAATTTTGGATCGACAATTGAAAGTCTCTTTTTAAACATTGATTTAATGTTTCTTACAGTGGATGGTAAACGACTTGAACACAGGATCTATTAGATTAAATGCCTCATCTATCATCACTTGATCTAATTATTCATTCAACTGTAGCAGATTCTGTTCTATTAGAAAGCGAAATTTTTCAAAGTTTTACTTGAAAACAATTCAATCCTATAGTATATTGGAATGATAGTTATACACATTAGCATACAATTTTTTACTTTACCATATAAATTTGATCGAGTAAGAGATTAATTTATTTGCTAATCATTACATTTTTTGTGTGTTTTGTTTTCAGTTTAAACATCTTTCAAATGAGTTTATTTCATCATGTATTTCAAATCGACCAGTTTCTCTTTGTTTTGAACGTGTTCATTCTCGTTCACTCATTACTACAACACCATTAACTTTGGAAATATTTCAATTTATTGAAAACGTTTTTCCAAATATCAAAATGCTTGAATTGATAGATTGAATTAAAGATTCATTAGATGAAAGTGAACAAGATAGAAGTATTGCTTTCGTGAATGAAAATATTCTTTTCGATACTACTTTACAAATATTATCTGTTACTGAATTCTGTTTCGTCATATGGACAAAATATGACAATTACAAGATATTTCGTTGTCTTCTTGCTTTTTTTTCCAAATTTAGTTTATCTAGAATTTGGTATGAAACAATCAATTCTGAATGGTCTATTAAAAGATGAATTAATCAAAAATATATTTGCTGGTATCGAACAACTGAAGACAGAGAATTTTTACTATGAAAAGAAGACGCGATGATTGACGCAGAATTTCATCATCTTTTCTCAAAAAGTTAAAAATTTCATCACTGAAGATGATGCTGACATTGAGTGAATTGTATTTCTATTCAATTAAACATAACTAAAAATGATTCATAATGATGATACAACATTATAGTACTAAATTATATTCACATATTTTAATAAACAGTGTAGTTTCTTACATTATTGATATTTTTTAAAATGATATTCCTGAGTTTTATTATGAACTAAAGAAATATTTGACTAACCTTACAAAAATTTAATTTAATTTTGATTATCTCTAATACATTTGACTTGTTCAGAAAATTTTCAAATAACATTTGTTTTTCAAATTTTCTTTACACTTGAACATCGTTTGTTGCTGAGAACCTTCCAAATTCCACGCAAAAAAATACTGCTATGGCGAGTCTCTTTCTTTTGTTTATGTCTGAAATATATATTTTGTTCTTATTGCAACAAACGTGTCTGCACACACCAAGAACGTAAAAAAAAAAGTAAGTCATAAATTATCCAGCACAAAAATAAAGTGGAAAGAGAATGAATTATTGACACAGAGAACGGCAGAAATA